AGCATAATACAAATTTTCACGGCTATGCTGACAACTTGACATCACACATTTCCATTCCTTCTGATTATCAAGAAGGCTGAGTGTCAGATATTAAAGCTATAAGCTATGAGAGGCCTTGTGTTGCTGCGATTTTACCACGGGTAAAGGTGTTCTTAGGCACGACACAAAGCTGAGTAAAACTCACTTCCCTGGGATAAAATCGCTGTAACGCAGGGCCTCAAGTGGCTTATTGCTTTTATAAAAACAGCAGCCAACCTAAAATATGATGAAATGCACCACTTTTCAGAAAATAATTAAATTTATTATTAATTATAATCAACATAAGTATTCCGTAAAGAAGTGTAGTTCCTTTAAAGTTTGATATCGTTGCCACACAACCATGGACAGCTGAATGAAAAGAACGTTTGGTCCAGCCTCCACTTTATAAGTACTTTTTGGTCACCAAATCTCCACCACGAGTCTTATTTAGCACCAATCTAGTGACGCCCTCTTCTCATGCAGGGGCTGAATGTCAAACCACTCCCTGCTCCCTACATAGTCCACTACATAGGATTTAAATACTGGATCCTGCAGCTCAACAGCGAATAATACAGCTAAGAAATGGTCATTTGGGACTCAGACACATCCACACCCGATACATGATGCACTGTTTGGCCGTAGAGGCTAGAATTTCTAAACTTTCACAGCTAGAACACTATTTAAGGGGTCATTTTTAGACTTTTATACTGCAGTTTCACAGTAAATCATACTGTACACACTTTAATCCAAGCCTGTGATATTAATGATGGAGCTGTTTAGGCTGTTTGCTCTCTTTTAGCCTGTTAGCTAGCTGACCAGTCCAGTTCTAGTTAAGAACATAAGTTTTCAGCCCCTCAGTTTAAACAGAAACGGGTTCTTACTTCATCAGTACACTCGGTGGTCCATGCGATCAGCCATAGAGTCAAAGATTATTCCATTAACAGAATTATTAGCAGAAGGGTTTGTCGTGATGTGGTGCAGTGATACACAATTCAGTCGCTGTGAGGCGTCATAGGTGTGCGTATATCATAGATTTCACAACGGCTTCTAATTTGACTCAGCCAATCAGATTTTGAAATGAATGAAATTAATCTTTGTGTTGTAATTAAGACCCATCAGTTCAAATGTTTACTATTTAATGAACTTTAAGGCTTAGTATTTATAAAATTGAAGACTGTTTAAAGAACTTTAAGAAGGCAGGCAGAGTTTCAGCAACATGTTTCATAAAGTTTAATAAACCTCTCCTGCAGTCACTGAGCAGAGCGGCGACATGATGAAGAAGCAGAACCTGATCGGTCCTCTTGTGTGTATTCAAAGTTCTGATTGACTGGCAAAATTGGAACTAGAACTCATAGAGCTAAGTTAGAGGTTGACTTTGGAGACAGAACCTTTTTGTTTTCTAGATAAAGAGTCCAAAAATGCATAGAACTTAAAAAACACCTCACATAATGTTAAAAAGTTGTCACAGAATATAAATACGTGAAAAACTATTTGTTCAAAAATTGTCAGACAGAACCTTATAATTCCAAAGGGACGACTTGTCTGTAAAGCACTTTGAGCTGCCACTGGCAGGAAAAGTGTTCTATAAATAACGATTATTATTATTATTATTATTATTATTATTATTATAAAATGCAGTTTGCATGAGGACAAAAGGGCAAAACGCCAAGAAAAAGCTGTGTTTTGAAAAATGCCTGTGTACATGTGGACACGCAAGGCCTGTAAGCGAGTGACACTGAGTAGCGTGTGTGCATTACTCTCCTGCCTGAAGAAGCCTCTGATGTGTTAACACACGGCTCTTTTCTCTCCTGGCGGGAGCAGGTGCTGCTGGCACTTTTCTCTGCACGGTTTTTAATCCGTTAAATCATCCTCGCACGCTCCCTACACGTCCCTGCCTCCAGTGCAGCGCTGGAGCTCCACTTTACACAGTCAGGCTGAAGGACTGGAGCTCAGAATAACTGGAATGATGTAATTTGCTGCAAGTCTGGATGTTTTCTTTAGGAGCTGAAATGGTCTTTTGTAACGGTAACAGCAGCTTCTCAGTGAAGGTCCTACAGAACATACGGTCTGTACGTCTCACTGCTTTCCTGCTCTGACACATCTACAAAACTGCTGGGACGGGATTTCCATCTGTGCCAGTTCAACACAGGACGTCTGTAATGTTGATGGTCTGCTAATTCTACTGAATTACTTCAAACTGTGCTCCCACAGTAAAAAACTATTTAAAAAGGAGTGAAGTATTCAGAGCTTCGATATTTACAAGGAGTATGTGCTGATAAACAGGAGGCATTAATAGAGATAGTAATAAGCTAAATACATACACAATCATCATTTATAGGGTACTTTCTATTGGGAGGTGTCTGTCCCAAACCCTAACCCCTGAATTTACACTTAGGAAAATAAAACTTCATTTTTTTCCAATATTTTTTAAAGATCTTTTGGAATTCATTTTAAAGTGAAGCTGAAAGATTAACATTTATCATTAGAAAAACGATGCAACAAGTTTTCATGTCACTACCGAAACACACAGAGTTTTAGTTTGTAGGTGGAGCCTTATTTTAGCCACACCCCTGCATTTAAGAGCAGGAAGTGAGGCTTCATCCCTGTCCTTCACGGCCACATGGTGAGCAGTTAGATCCCATTGTTTTGAAGTAAATGTGTCCCAAAGTCTGAAAATCAGTCTGGAACATTAAGATTTTTCATATTTTCTGAAATTAAGTGCATTTTTGTGGTTTAATGAAAAATAATGATAATGATGTTATGTGTGAACAGCTGTTCAGGGCTGCGTTTGCTGGTCATGTACTGGCTGTGTTTTTGAGCTCAAAATGAGCTAAAATTGTCACACCGAAACAGTCACTACTGAAACATCAGATAAAGTTTCATGCAGTGTTATGATTGTTTTGGTAGTGACAGAATGGAAAGTTCAGTCATTAGTTTCAATAAAATAAACATAATTAAGATATACGGTCATTCAGCGCAGAAGGACTTAAATTTGTCACTACCGAAACAGTCAGTACTAAAACATTTGGTAAAGTTTCTGTAGTGTTGTGATTGTTTTGGTAATGACAAAATGGAATATACAATCATTTATTTTAATAAAATAAACAATATTAAGGTCTAAATTCGCTTAATGCAAAAGGGTTTAAAACAGTCACTACCGAAACAGTCAGTACTGAAATATTTGGTAAAGTTTTGCAGTGTTATGATTGTTTCGGTGGTGACAAAATGGAAAGTCCAGTCATTAGTTTTAATAAAATAAACATAATTAAGATACAGAGTCACTCAAAGCAAAAGGGTTTTAGTCTAAAGTCCAAGATCAGTTAAAAGTCTGAAATCTGTTTTTCATATATGACAGAGATGGGAGCAGCTGCTGGATTTACGCCCTGCTTTTACTCCAGAAAAGAGTCGAAAACATGTCAAAACATTTAATTTAGCTGTTTTTCCATTTACTCTAAGCTTCTGCCTCGCTGTCTTCAGTGTAGGCAGTGCGTCATTAGCGTTGTCATCATCGTTAGGCTGGAAATTCACAGTCAAAACTCAGCATCACCACATAAAAAACATTTTTATGTTCCAGTGCTCTGAGTTGTACCCTTGAGGACGCACCGTACATCAGCTTGATTTTAGCCACAGAGAACACGAGTAAACGCTTCTTTGAGCCTCAATATTTAAGAAACTCCTTTTTCACAGAATATGACGGCATGTTGATTCACACCGCATTAATATCATCTGGGGTTATTTTTACTGCTCGTTTCATAGATTTTAAAAGGCATCAGAATCTCTACTGGTGCGGCAGCAGGCAGTCCGTACAAATGATGAACATGCTGCACTTGAACGTGACTAAAATCACAGAGAAACAAAGGTAATAGTTACATTCCCCACTTCTCCATTTAAAACTACTACCATCCAAGTAGTGCTTAACTTAAAAAAGAAATAAATATATAAATCTCGCCCATTTTCCCCCTCACTGCAGATGTAGTAAACCAGCTGAGACTGGAGCAAACAGGTAATAGAAATGTATACCCCACCAATTAGCACTGTGCTAAATGCATACCTACAGTACTGTGTGGAAGTCAGAACCACCTGTCATTTATTTCCATATTCATTTCTAGTCAAAACAGCCATTAAGTATAAGATATTTATTTTCAGGAGATATTTCTGAGGAGATTAGATATGAGATAATTGATTTATATGAGGAAAGAGAAAGTCAAAGCAAAATAAGTGAAAAAAACTGATTAACAATGATTAAAATATGCAGAGAAAATGGAAGCTGTAATAATGGTAAAGGGTGAACACAATAAATACTAACAAAACCTAAATTTTTATGTAGTTGATTTGAGGCTGTAATTTTCTATTACAGTTTGCATCATTTTTTTCCTGATGCTAAAAAATAACTTATTTAATAATAAGTATAAGTTATACTTAAAGATGTCCATTTTGATTGAAAATTACACAAATGAAGGATGGTCTCTGACTATTGAAGAGTACCGAAAATCAGACACTTGCTCCAAACTGCATTGAGCATCTCGAACAGATGTGCTTTTGCAGTTTGTGACACTATATGACACACTATTATCTGCGAAAATGTGAATATAAACAAGAAAACCCTCTAATTTGACATTTGGGACTTTGTCCTCAGCCCACACTGTGGCAGAAATGATCACTGTCCAAATATTTATGAACTGCACTGGATGTGTGGTGCTGCAGAGGTCAGTGCAAGGTCCAATCTCTTCTCATGTCTTGCCTTACTTGAGAGGATCATGATAAAAAATAAACCAACCTGTGATATATATAACAAAGAACTGAAACCAAAGGGGACTCAGAACATACCCTTGAGGCACACCAATATATAAGAAAACTGTTATCTTTATTCTTAAACATTAAAGCTAAAGAGACCACCCTTTACCACACACACACACACACACACACACACACACACACACACACACACACACACAAACACATATACACTCATCCACACTTACCATGTAGAAGTAGCTGAGGCAGCAGCAGATGGTCCAGAAGACTGAGCCTGTTTTGATGGACTTTACCTAAACGGAGCAGAGAGAGGCCCCATTAATATCAATTAAGCTGCCATAAAACCGCACAAGCATTTAGAAAAGCATTTCATCTGCAGTAAACACACACACAACTACCAGAGGCCAATTTGAGCTCTCTAATTAAATGTGAGTTGAGGGATTGTGTAGAATTTGTGGGGAAACTGTGCAGGAACAACACTAGAGCTGGATGTGAGGGTCCTTGAGTGTGGGTCTTAAAAGTGGCCAAACCTTTTGAGTACACGAGGATTCAACTGAGGATTTTTGGCAGTGTAAGAGAGCGAGAGAAAGCGAGAAAGAGAGAGAGAGAGAAAGAGAGGAGGGATGCAGGATTAAACAGCTTCAGCTGAATTGGGTATTAGCAGGTAAAGACTGATGGGGGATAAAGTATATTGGGGAGGAGAGAGAGAGGGGGGTGGTTCTTTTTTCAGGAAATATTTCAGTAACACTTAATTTTAAGGTCTGCTTTTTAAAACATTAGCAAGCATTTAATATTAACATTGTAAATAGGAACACATCATTTGTAAGCAAACGTAGTTATGTGTTAGAAATGTTTTTATACAGTGTGTTAATAAGGCCTCCTGTAAATTAGTTATTACGTGTTTGTTGTCTGTTGAGTTACATGCTAATTAGTAGTAATCTTGCAGTTGAAAGCACACTTGAGATGTCTTTTAATGATATGTTAATCAAAGAATACTGACAGTGACCAGACATGGTAGTAAATTCTAGTAAATGGTCATATTGGTCACACCTGTTAAGTGTTCTGAATATGTTTGCATGTCCTGATTATCAGAAATCATAACTTACTGTACAGTGATTATCAGAGCACTGTGTTTCAAAGTGTAATAATAAAGTGCTGAGGCCTGTAATAAATGCACAATGTGTTTAAAAGCAAATAAAGTGATCTGAAGATCTTGAACTCCCTGAACAAAGCATTCATCAGCTTTTACACGTTCACATTACTTGTTTAGCAGAAATGGCCTAAAGCCATCCATATGATCAGTGAGGTTATTAAAGACGCTTACTAATGTCTACGAATTACTTAGACACAGTGAGTGTATTTACATGCACTTAATAATCCGATAACTGCAGAAAATTTAGATTTTGTCAGTAATCCAATCAACGTGTTTACATGCATTTGAGTAATCAGATAATGGGGAAACTCTGGGTCTACATGAGTCAGACAGTAATCAGATTTCTGCTTTACAACCAGCCAATAAACTCACAGAAGAAGATGCGACGTTAACGTAATGTAAAACTCAAACTTCATGATGTGGCTTTTTTTTTTTAAATCATCGCACCACTTTACCTGAAAATATGAACATACATCATCTAGAAGATGAAGAATATTCATTTGGGCAAGCATGTTTTTGGTTTCAGCATTGCTCCAAAAGGGTTTTGCTGCGTCTCGCGGTGATGCTGCTCACTTATTTCTGGTACTGCTATCTGTTTTTATACATGTACAGACTGAGAAATTCGAAAGAAATCAGAGTAAGAGTTACAGCACTGAGAAATCTGATCACTGAGCTAAAATCCAGCCTCTTTATCTGATTTCTTAATCAGATTTCTAGACCGTACGCCGATCTAAGAAATCAGAATGTGCTGTTTACATGACCATGTTAATAATCAGATAACTGCAGCAATCTGATTATGATCAGTGCAAGTGCAAATGCAAGTGCTGTGTACAAATGATAAAACACATTTAAAAGATCTTTATTACTGAATCTGCAAAACCAAAACTAAAGTATAAGTTGTTCATTTTTAATGACCAATACCTGACAGTTATTAAATGCTTACAAATGAGCTGGAAACAGCATTTAGAGAACCAGCCACGTTGAAATGATCTTTATTAATGAATTTGATAGACCATAACTAAAATAGAACGTATTCATTCTCAATAGCCACTGCCCTGCCTTTAGTTTAGTAAGCACTTATAAAAACATTTACAGGTAATAATTTCTTAAAAATGGACAGTATCTCCCAGATGCTTTGTAGTGTGGTAGGGAACTGATCTCTACCTGCTGAAAAAAGTCCATTAAAACCATTAAGATTAAATCCTGATGGATTTGTTTTCTAATGGGAATTGGCTTAATGGTTACCATTAGAGACCACGAGTTTCCTGTAGAACACTTTTAGATCCCATTAGGAAACCATCTGGAATCAGAACACCATTAGTCCATTGATACTACTACTATAAGTAATACTACTTTGATATCAACCCATGATGAAAACACTAAGCACTATTACCGACTACTGGACACCACCAGGAACAAGCAGAAACTTTTAATGGTTTGTACGGATTTTTTCTGCAGGGATGCCAAGCGTGATTAATGATGGTAAATATTGTATTTCATTAAATTAAATAAAAAGTTTATCGGTCTCACACTGCACGCAACCTACTGCGGCGCTCTGATACATGACGTGACCCGGCGTGTCCATGTAGGGTAGCTTTTACTTTCTCTGAGATTATCAGCACCACCATTCAGTGACCCCCCCAAAATATACACGGGTGGAATGGTTTATTTGGCTGTTCAGACATGAAATGGAAGTTTGACACATAAAAATTCTGGAAAATTATCATCAATTTTAAATAATGACATTAAATACCACGGTATGCCTTCTTACCAGTATACTGCCCAAGCCTACACGAACTTTCAGTTTGTTTGTGTTTTTTAATGTGAAAAGCTGGTTTGCCAAATATACTAATTAATTCTTTATACTACTGATGTTTACTCAAGTGCCATTTTTAATTAATGACTTTAACTTCTACTGAAATTCTTGGTATTTTTATGTTACTTAAGTTTGGCAGCTGAATTCTGTACCCACCACTGACCAGGACATGGTGTTTACTAAATATCTGTTTCGTCTGTAATGTAAGCATCTCCCACTGAGAACACACCTTCAGTCTCTGTTGGATGGTCCCTAAATAACTAACTGAATAAAATATGACCCTCCAGCAGCCAGCAGTGCCCTCAGGGCTCTGGCTTTATGATCCGTGCTGGAATTTGCATGGCCTGGTGTTCTCGGGAGGGGGGGTTTTCCACAGTGCCCCCGCTGATATGCAGTTCGGAGATACTCCATTTGCTGCTTTAAGAGGTTCAGTGTCTGCAAGGGTCTGATCAAACTTCTGATTTAAATAATTAGGCTCCGTTCCTCGTTAAGGAAGAGGGCTCATTAGTGAAGTCCGGCGGTGCCGTGCAGGCTTGAAGTAATTCATTTTAGACCAGTGGATCAGTTACAGTTTCCCTGCTATAACACACCTGATTCAGCTCAACTCCTAATTATCAAGAACTACATCATCCGTTAAAAGTTTGGAGACACCATGCCTTCTAAAATGATCTATAAACAAGCATGTTTTCTTTAACAAATTTGTAAATTATATGGCCAAATATATGTGGACACCTGACCATCACATCTATGAGCTTGCTGGACTTCCCATTTCAAATCCATAGGTATAAATATGGAGTTGCGACTATAACAACTTCCACTCTCCTGGGAAGCTTCTACAAGATTTTGGAGAGTGTCTGTGGGAATTTGTGTCCATTCAGTCTAAAGAGCATTTGTGAGGTCAGACACTGATGTTGGGCGAGAGGGTCTGGCTCACAATCTCTGTTCTAGTTCATCCCAAAGGTGTTCAGTGTTGTTGAGATCAGGACTCTGTGGAGTTCCTCCACACCAAACTGGTCACACCACATCTTTATGGAGCTGCTTTGTGCACAGGGGCTCAGTCATGCTGGAACAGGAAAGACTCTTCACCAAACTGCTGACACAAAGCTGGACGTGTATAACTGTCTTAAATGTCTGTGTGTTGTAGCATCAACATCACCCTTCACTGAAACTAAGGGGTCCAAACCCTGAAAAACAGCCCCAGCTCATTATCCCTCCTCAGCCAAACTCTACTGCTGGCACTAGGTATTCTGGTAGGTATTGTTCTCCTGGCATCCACCAAACCCAGATTCATCCATCAGACTGTTCTTAGATGCTTCCATTTCACAACAATAGCACGTACAGTTGACAGGCACAGATCTAACAAGGCAGAAATTTCATGAACTGACTGCAGAGGTGGCATCCCATGACAGCACCACCTTTAAGACAGAATATTGGTTAACTCATACCAAACCTGATAAATGCACTAGATCTGGGGTCGGTAACATGTGGCTCCGGAGCCGCATGCGGCTCTTTTACTGTCCTGTTGTGGCTCCACAGCAGAATTAGATGTTTAGGTAAAAATAAAATAATCCTCCTTTACAGTAAAATAAAGCTCTGCTGATTGTTCAACACAGTTTAACAATAAATGGTCTTAAACTCTGGAGTTAATGTAGAACTGCTAATTCACCCTTTAACCCTGAAGATCAGCGCAGACAACAATCTTGCCTAGCTTGTAGCTAACGAAACGGCAAAGAGAAATATTTAAGACAAACATCGATAATTTGGAGACGAATGGCCTTATTTGCATTTATAATCACTCCAGCTGGTTTCCTGATACGTTTAATCTGCAACAAAAAACTCGCAAACACTAAAAAGTCACAAAGCTGAAGTCAGTTTCTTGTTCACCAGCTTCTCATTTGAAAGTTCCACCTTAAATGGTGCAGCAGTTACATTCTGGCTCCTCAGGCACCATTTAAGGTGGAACAGAAAAATTCGAACAAGAAGCTGGCGAATGAGAAGCGACTTCAGCCTTGTAAAAAGTCGAACATTGAGAGACATTTTACAAGAAACTGTTTTACTTTTGAGGAAAATTTCCTGCCAGAGATGCGAGAGAAGCGGCTATAGCTGAGCTAAAGCTTAAAGCACAGCAAAGTAAGTCTGTGTTTACATGTTTAATACGTTTTATACATTTTTGTTTATATGTTTAATATGTTTTATCTGCAACAGAAAATGTTTTTTAGCCTATACTAGTACATCAGCACATACTGAGACATATTTACAGCCAAGATGGTAAAATAGACATTAAATGTTGTGGCTCCCAAGGTGGTCTGATTTTTACTGAAAGG